CATTGACACCTTGCCTATCTTACAGAGTGGTCGTGAAGATTAAAAGAATGTATGTCAAGTGCCTAGAATGGAGCCTGTATAAATGTTAGTTGCTGCTGTTACTGTGTCATGTACCTACAAGAAGGGTGTTAGGGAGACACCTAAGATGAGTGAATACTTGATAAAAAATATCAAGAATTCTTAAAATGACTCTTTTAAAAGGCTCAGTTATTAAGGTATAATGATGACGTACCTGGTAGAAAAGAAATCTTCTTAATCCCTATTCAAAATATTCAAACATGAAAATGTGTAAGATCTGGTTAGTAGTAGGATGATCATACATTCCAGTTTGTCTGGAAAAGTTTTGATTTATATCTGATGTCCTGGTGATGATATTACTAATGGTTCCTTTCACTCTTCTTTATTATTGATTTAACAGAAAGAGACGACAGAAAGTGAGAGACACGTTTGACTATCGTATGTGCCCTGACCAGGGATCAAACCCACAACCTTGGTGTATTGGGACGATGCTCTAACCAGCTGACCCAGCCAGGGCCCTTTTCACTCGTAAATGTCCTAGTCTGGATGAAAAAATTGTACAGTCCCCTAGTTAGGAGGAGAATGAAAATAGGTGTGGAGTTATAAAAAACCAAAAAGCATCTGTGTTTCAAAAGAAGTTATCATTTGTAGGCTCAGATTAAAACACATTCTAGGGTTAGTGGGAACTTACTGGTGTGATTATAAAGTACCACCAGAAATCTCTAAGGAACCAGAAAACAGAAAAGATGCCAGAACACTGAGCTTGGACAAAACTCTAAAATTTAAGGGGTGAAGTTGGAGTCCAGAAGCCACATACCAGGGAATTTACCTTCTAAGCCTAGAAAATTTCTGAAATGGATTCTTAATGTTTTAAATCAGAAAGCCATGCTTATTATGAAGACATGGATGATTGTGAATTATGAGGAATTGGTAAGTTAGAATAGATGCCCTGCTCTACTTCCCCCACTGTATGTACAGCCCAGAATGCTCTGCTCTATTCCCCCTCCTGGGAAGTGGTTAGAGCAAGAAAACAATCATAGTATCAGCCTTCCAAGATTGAGCTCATCCTACCTAGGCAAGTTTACACCTGGCATCAAGAGAGGGAGATACATCTTCTTCCTTGGCACCAATCCCATTAAGTAAAACACAGGAGAACAGCACAGATAGGCAAGCATGTGATCTTTTACCTGAATGGCCCAGAGTTGGGAGAGAAACAACAGGGCAGCAATACCTAACAATACTTTGTTGTAACAGTACTTACTAGTAAAGAATTGTGACAGCTTCTGTTACTGTAATTCTCCTGGGGGCAGAGAAGGAACCTGATGGGTTTAAAAATATATAGACAGCTCTCTGTTCCTCGTCAAGAAACCACTTCCTGTAGGAAGGCTCCCCTAATTCCCAAGGCTGCACACACCCCTCCATCCCACTGAGGTTAACTCACAGCACAGCACCTGCAATGTTCTGTTAGAAGCACCTTTTTACCCATCTATTTTAACTTTGAGCCCTGGGATGATAGGGGCAGTCTTGTTCACTGTTGTATCCTTAGCCTGGCCACAGTAGATAATTAATGCTTGCTGAATGGTAAATGTTTTATAAACCATACAAAGTATTTTGTCAGCTCACTATAGTCTGTCCTTCCCCAAGGCTGAGTGACTAAGCTAGGGGTCAGGTCTACTTCACAGAAAACGTGGTGCTCATGTGAGTTTCCAGCCCCTCTGCAGGACTCTGCATGGCTCAAGAGGGCACTGAAGTGCCATTCTCATAGTATACAATTTTAATCTATTCCAGGTTAAAACTGAGGACCCCTAGCCAATTTAAGATATGGAATTAAAGGTGACTAGACAGCAGGTAACAGTGAATCACAGATAAGGTAGTAGAGTCCATTTTAGGTACGGTGATGCTTTCTTGTCCTTTATTCATTTGTTCATATATTATGTAATTTGGCTTTTTCCCCTATCGGATTTATTGATCACTTAC